ACACAATGGTTGGATGATATCTCTTCAAAACAGTACACTAAGGACGTGCAATCCGCTTCAGCTAGATGCGTAACCGATGAGGAAGCGAGAGATCTCAGATCGGTTTTGTGAATGACCACCAAAAAGCAGTGTGTGTTCATGAATGGTAATTCTTAGTATTACTATTGTTAACTTTTGGATCATTTTGCTCTATTCTGGTCTTGACTGATCATTAGCTATATTTGCAGGGTTCCATTTAAGATTTTGTTTATCTTACTAAAAAACTTTTGATTGTGCAGTTCTGCTAAAATCCAAAAAAGAAAACCCTATGTAGAAATCTAGAACCATGCCATAAGTTTTACCAATCCGATGAATCGGGTTAGGACTTTTAAGTTTGGTTCGGTTTAGATGATCTTCGACAAGTGCCTGAAATTATAGACCGGATATTCTGATTCTTAAATGATTTTTCTGGGGTATTTGTTTTGCGGTTCTTATTTAATTCCCTATAAAATTATATTTTCTATTTAATTATGAAGACCCTTCAACACAAAAAAAAAAATCCAAAATGCAAAGTTTACTACACAATTTATCAGAGCAAAGCAAAAAGTTTTTCAATATTTAAAGAATTCCAAGTATATAGAATGTATTTCCCACTTCTTTGATGCTGAAAGTGTTCTTCACAATATTTCACAATATTAGATACAAATATTGTCTAGAGTGAAGAAAAGATTCTCGAATCAAACGTAATACTTCAATGACAACATGCATAAGAAGGATGTGCTCGAAATGTAAACGTTTAAGCAAAAACGAAAACAGGGTATAAGAAAGAAAAAGACGAAAGCAAAAGAGTATGCATTATGCATGGTTGAGAAAATATACCCAGACTCTTGAAGTAGTAATTAAAGAAATACTAATTTCGTGTACTTTTTCCACCTTATAAAAATTTTTATATCTCCTCGTCATAATATTTATTATATTTTCACTTTATTTTAAAGGAAGAAAAAAAAAGAAAATCAGTCAAATATTTAAAGACTTTTAATAAAGTTTCATATTTACGAACACAACCACCTAAATTCACATCCAATCTATTATATCGGGTTAAATCCAAATAAATTGGGTCTTTGATCAAAATTGTGATAAGTCAAATCCTAAATAGCAATTATACTTGTCAAATTTTTTTTTTAAAAAATCAAATTTTGAAATCGTCCTCTCGTAGTCGTCGTCGTCGTCTTCGTTTAGTATTCTCTATGACAACTACGAGTGATTTGCTGCCGCCTGTCTTGAATCAATGCTAAAACAGGTTTGTTCGTCTTTGACCTCTGATTTTTACTTTATATTTAGAGAACTTTGTTGATTTGAACTTGATTATGTGTAGAATCGAAAATCGATTTATATGTTTTCTATTCGGTTGGTAATTACAAAATAAGAATCATGGATGGTATCGAAAGAGTGATTAGTTATGCTAGACAAGAACTGTACTCAGATTCCGTTTCGTCGCAGGAGAAAATGGTAGAAGGAGTTGCCAATTCGAAGACGGATAATAATCAGATAGTGTTGTGGCAGAACACTACTGAAACTATGAAAACTGAGGCAGAGGAGGAGGAGAACCAACCATTGCCACCCGTGAGAATGTTCTTTGAGTCCAGTCAGTATCATAAGGCAATAAAGCTGGGAACAAAACGTTATATCCACAAAGCTGTTGCGAAATTGGAGTCCCTAGACCTTGAACAACATGAGCTGATATGGTTTACAGAACACCCACAGTTCAAGCACTTTTGGCACATGCATAGGGCCATGCATGAGGACACAACACACAAGATGATGAGAATGTGGTTGCTTCTTCTTCGGACAGCAAACGCAAATAAGAAGAGGGAAGCTTGGTTTCTAGTGAATGGCGTACCAATTCGCTATTCCCTTAGAGAACATGCATTTTTGTGTGGATTAAACTGTCTACCTTACCCAGAGGACTATGAGAGCATATGAAGTTCTTCGTTTAAGAATAGATATTTCCAGGAAACCGTCCCCTCCCTTGCTGCTGTTGAGAAAAAGCTATGCGAGGGCTAGATCATCCTGATCGGTTGAAGATGTGTGTCACTTACTTCTTATCCTCTATAATTAGTGGGAAAACAAAAACCAGTAAGGGAGCACCAAATGGAAGTAAAGAGGTATTGAAGTCTGAAGTCTGAAGAATACCTCTTTTCTTCTTTACCTCTTTACTCTTCAGACTTCAATACCTTCTTATCCTCCGAATCAGTGCCCGAATGGATATGTAATGTAGAACAATATGTAAAAGAGGCAAGAAGAGAAAGGAAAAGACCAGGAGATGAGGAAGGAGAAGTTTTACGAAATGATGTAGAACATGAACGGGAACAAGGTATAGAGAAGCTTGAAAGTGTCGTGACAACTGAGAAAGCGAAGAAATAGAAGCAGCCGAAGAAGAAGCAGCCGAAGCTGAAGCCGAAGAAGAAGCAGAAGCCGAAGAAGAAGCAGAAGGTGGCAGAGCAGAAGGAGACGAAGCAGAAGAAGCCAGAGCAGAAAGAGCCAGAGCAGAAAGGAGACAGAGTAGAAAGAGCCAGAGCAGAAGGAGCCGGAGCAGAAAGAGCCAGAGACGAATGAAGCGGAGCAGAAGGAGGCGGAGCAGGAGAAGGCAGAGCAGGAGGAGGCAGATCAGAAGGAGGCGGAGCAGGAGGAGGCGGAGCAGAAGGAGGTGGAGCAGGAGGAGGCGGAGCAGAAGAAGGCGTAGCAGAAAGAGGCGGAGCAGAAGGAGGCGGAGTAGAAGGAGGTGGAGCTGCTTGTAGCCCGATCTCCGTACCTGCTTAGAAGTAAAGAGGTATTGAAGTCTGAAGAGTAATACCCCTTGTTTTGTTAATACTTAATATTTCGTAATAACACTATGTTGTATTACTTGGTATGTGTAGGTAGAACTAGACGGTTTTGACGCTGTAAATGCAGAAGTGGGTGCAGGTAAACGGAAAAAAGAGCAATCGAAGCTAGGCCCAAACACATGGCAAAAACGTTAAGTCACCTTTAACATTTGGTATTTGTATTTGGATTAAACTCTCAAACTTTAGGGTGTGTACTAACTTCTATTTTTATTATTGGATTTGGATAACTAAGTATTATTTGAATTATTGAAAACCATAGATTGGTATAACTAAGTATTAATTGGTGAAAGCAAATGTATAATTGAAAACTATAAATTGGTATAACTTGGTATTATTGGTGAAAACACATGTAAATTAGGAAACCCTAAGTTCAAAGGAGTCGACATTCATTTGGAAACCCTAAGTTTAAAGGCGTCGTATGACTTTGGACCATTGTATATCTTAGTATTATTTTGTGTAGACAACATAAGGAAGTACAAAACATTACGAATTGTTAACATAAGGAATCCAACATATAAGGAAGTACAAAAACACAAAACATAAGACACAAAATATCAGACACATTCACCAGTTCACCATTTCAGGAAAAATCCTAACTACCCGGTCCACATATCGGAAGAACTTCCGCATTCGCGAGTTAAGAAGCAGTAGTATCAGATGTTCCCTGGTTTATACTCACCATTCCACCAATGCTCCCATTGGTTAACTGTACCGCACAGACAGTGGATAAGAGTATTGATGTGCGGTAAAAAGCGATGGTGGCTAACCTCGAACATCTCTGGCAACGCCATTGGCCAACCAATATATACTTATTCAACGCTCGCGTCTGCACTTCCTTATTGTTTCCCAGCTTAGTTTGATAAGGTACTCATCACCCTCGGGATGTTTCATAACAAGTTTCATGAACATCCCGTAGACATATACTGCATGCATGTACCCGCCACATCATTTATCAGTTGAATCCCTCCAAAATTGTCTCGATGAAAATAGATTTGCATACCTCGCATGAAAAGCATTCCTGGATTTTGTGCATCATAGAACTCTTTGAAGACATCAATGATGAGATGGACATCTTGATCCACTGGTTGACCAATTTTAAAGGAATCAACTTCAGCATAGAAGCCAGGGCCTCTGGTGCAGGCGTTGAACCTATGACAAATAGAGCGAATCCGTATTAGGTAACCAACTGTGTTAACCGACGCTGCGAGAACCTTTTCTAGTAGTTCGTTTGGTAGGGCTAGTTCGTCTGCCATGGATTTATGGATGAAAGTGATAAAGGCCGAGTTTTGTGAAAGGGAATTTGAGGAAAAGGTCTGAAATCCTAAGAGAAAATGATGGATTTTTGTAATATAAAAGGAATTTCTGAACCCTAAGAGAACAAAGGAAGGAGAAAGTGATGGATTTGAGAAAGTAAAAAAAGAAGGAGAGAATGGTGGATTTTGGAACTTATTTCCGTATGGATTTGATTTGGGAACTTAAATAATAGAAAATGGAGGAAATGAGTAGTCTCGTCGAATAAACGCAACTGTAAGATAATGGGAATAAGAAAGAGAGAGAGGAATAACTGCTACTCTCATTAATATGTAACTGAAAATATATAATTATTATATATTCAATATTGAATAAGAAAGAGGAACTCAATAAATCTATAAAATCTGGAGAGCTGATATATTCGGATATTTGTGTACTCAGCATTAACTCACGTGAAAGGAAGTTATATAGTGTTAAAAATCAGAAAAATTGAGTAATTAATTATATAGACGTGTTGCATGGACGAAAGGAGATGTTGAGGGAAGAAGGAACGGTCACTTCCAAGGGAGAGGTTAGGTTAGACGTGATATATATCTCTGTAAAAGTAAATAAATAATAATAAATTTAGATGTCAAAAAGATAATTACATCGTTGCATGGATGAAAGAGAGAACAGTCAAATTAGTGTTGGTAGTTGTACCAGTCTTACGAAAGTTAATGAAAGCATTAACCGTCCTTCTCACTTCAAAGTTATTTAGTGCTATCTTTGCTCTCCTTCTCACTTCAAAATGACTCATACATCTTGGATCATGATTCTTCTGATGGAGTTGTTGAGGTTTCCGACGAGTGGTTTCAGTGCGGGACCTGTGGCGGAAGACATTTACGAATGGCAAACAACAATCATTGGCCCTCTGGGCGTCCATACGAATGGGGCCTCTTCTTCTTCACCATCCATTTCTCATTAGAATACCCCTTCAGGCCACCAAGGGGTATTCTGCACCCCAACATCAACAAACTCCACGTCTTCTATCCGCTACTCGTCACCGCTACATGGAGGACCGGGACGGCGGTGAAGGAAGTCCTCCAAGCGCTTCATGACATGCTGCTCCACCCTAAGGTGGATGAAGACGACCACTTCCTCGTAGACGTCGCCCGCATGTGCGTTTTGGAGCCGGAGAGGTACGAGAAGGAGGCCTGCTTGATAACCGAGGAACACGCCATGAATTAATTTTAATTCATGGCGTTTTCACCCAAAAATAATGAATTTAATGTTTTTAGTTATTTAAACTTTATGGTTAAAGTGTGTTTAATTTCTGCTTTTATTGTAAAATATTTAATTATAAAAAATATTATTAAATCTACTTGTGTTATTTTCTCTACTATATTATCTCAGCCGATAAATAAGGAAATGTTAATATATCGGGATAACTCAGTATCATTTGGTATAACCACATGATATTCGGAAAATCGAAAACTGGGATAAGTCAGTATCATTTGGTGTAACTACATGATATTCGTAAAATCGAAAACTGGTATAAGTCAGTATCATTTGGTGTAACCACATGATATTCGGAAAATCGAAAACTGGTATAACTCAGTATCATTTGGTGTAACCACATGATATTTGGAAAATAAGTGAGTTTTGAGTACAACCAGGAATCTTAACTACTTGAACAGGTAGATAGTTAAAGAAACCAAAGCCACAACAAGAACAGAGAGAACAACCATGTCCTTAACTTCCTTAAATATCTTATCTCGTCGCGTCTGATCCAAATCTCGTTCAATTTCTTTAAAAACCCAGTCCTAAACCACCTCATAAAGGAGAGCATGAAACCTCTTTGCCTCAACCCTTTCCTCCTTCAGTTTATTTACAGATTCCTGTAGCTGGGAAATCTCCGTTGAGTGAATCTGGTTCATGGTTCTTGTCCAACCACTCCGGCCTTGCATCTCGGCCAAATCATGCCGAACATCTTGAATCTTTTCTAGTATTGCCTCATCACATCACATGAAGAGATGACATCCGGGATTCTACAGGACACAAACCGTATTAAGATTTTTGGTAATTGCAACGAAATAAAAAGCAATCAACAGCTGAACTTTGCTTACGTATTTTTTATTGCAAGCGAAGAATCTTCTTCACGAATCCAAATTGGTGTGAGAAGTTTTGATGATTGGTTGACGATGACAATAACAGACTCTCGGATTCGAGAATTTTCGTACAATTCGGGTGGAGGACTACCGCTTGAAAGCTCCAAGTCGGACGACGAGCCGAGATTTGACATTTTTGCAAAAAAATTGTTATTTTGCGAAAACTGAGTGTTGTGGTGTTTTTCGGCATAAACCCGGATATTTGTTGAATCCATACTATTATTTGCGAAGTCAAAATTCTTACGTGTCAACACCAGAGCAATTTGCTTATGTGTCATATATACGTGTTATTTTTCTTAATTTTAATTGGATTATCATTTAATCCTACATGTCACTATGGTTAAAATGATTTTAATGGGCCATCTATACTATTAGTTAATGGGCCATCGATTTCGTTTATTTCACCAAATTTGTAAAATGGACCACCGAAAAAAATTAAAAAAAAAATCTTAAAACATTTATCCTACACTATATATATCGTTAGCCTACATATGTTTTTCACCTATAACAACTAACTCACCCTTTTCGAATGTCAAATCTTCGCTCATTCTCAAAGTAAATTGGTTTTGTACTTTAGTAAGTCGGTGAATTTTGTTTCTGTGGTATAGTCTCTCATATTTTGTTTTTGTGATTTCTATAGTGATTATTTTTCTTTTCTCGCTTTCTTTATATTTTTTATTTTATTTTTTAGGTTTTATATTGTTGTTAATTTGTTGTTGTGCGGGCATAGAGTTTTCAATGTTGTGAACTAAAACTAAAAATAATTAAAAACAATTGTTTAATATATAAATAATAAAATAAAGCAAATCTAAAAAGGAAACACCATCTAAAATTAACAAAAATATATTTACTATTGAACTCACAAATCGACAAAAGCGAGTTTTTCGTCTTTACATAATTGTTTTTCTTCTTCTTCTTTTTATCTTTTAGTTTATCTTTTAGTTTATCTTTTTTTTCTTTTTTTTTATTTCTTCATCTTCTTCCATCTTTATCTTTGTCCTCTTCATTCTATATCTCTTTTGTTACTTCTTTTCTTTAAGTTTTTTTGTCACATCTTCTTCTTGTTTTCTATTTTTCTCATTTTCTTCCTATTTTACTTCTTCTTCTTCTTCTTCATCGCCTTTGTCTTCTTCGTTCTCTCCGACTTTATATTCTTCTTATTTTCCTTCATTTATTTATATTAATTAAATATATGTACTTGAAAACTTTAACTATATCTCTTTCCTAATCCATGTGTCCATCCCTCTTTCAATATTTATCTCTCATTCTCTCCTTGCCCCTCGTCTTAAATTTATATATATCATATGATTTAGATAACTACATTTAAAATAAGAAGTATTTCAAAAATAAAAAAATAGGAACACAAAAATATGAGCTAACATAGACTGAATATCATGTATCTATAAGGTTAACTCTCTCTACTATTTCTCTTTCTCTCTTTATCCTCTCTTTCTCTCTCTCTCTCTCTCTCTCTCTCTCTATTTCTATTTCTATCCCTCACACTCTCTCTCTCCATCGACATGTCCCTGAAGCATCTATATGTCCCTGAAGCATCTATATGTCCCTGAAGCATCTATATGTCCCTGAAAGCTTTAACTCAATTTCTCTCTGTCTCCCCGCACAACATCTGATGTGCCATCTCCACAGCAATTGTCCTATGTGTCATTATTAAAAAAAATTATATGGCGTTTTAATTTGTTATGTTAGGTCAATCATTAATCTTATGTGGAAATACCCGTGATGTGTCTTTTTTCCTCAATTATGGGCCATCGATTTTATTTATGGGCCACTAATCTCGATTTTGGTCCTAGCCACTGATTTTGGTTATGGGCCATCAATATCAAAGTCAGTATTAATCTAAACCCTAGCGTATCCATCGTGCTATATATACTCTTCTCGGTCTTCATGTTTTCTGACATACAACGTCCGTCTTCTAAGGTTTAGCATCTTTTTAAAAAATAAATTCATGTCTTTTTTAAAAAAAAATTGATATATATATATTATTTATGCATTTCCATAATGACAACATACTCTTATAGTTCATACTTCGCTAATTGAATATTTTATCTCCCGCTTTACAATAAAATTGTCAGGTAAATAAAAATTCATGTTTGTTTATTTTAGTTTGTGCTTTAAATGTTTTTTTCTGCTTCTAGACTTTCTTCTTATGTAAATCCATTGCCTAATAGTTCTTTCCTTCAAAATTTTTATGAATTTTCTATAACGACTAGCAATCTTTCCTTCCATGATCCTCAGATTTTGCCGTAACTTCTGCCTCCATCTCAAATCGTTTTTACAGAAGATGAACATTTTTCTGCGATGTTTACAACGATAAATTTACAGGTTCGTTAACGTGTAATTAGGACTATCCTGAAGCCATATCGTATGTATTTTGAATTTCCGATCCATTGGGATTGGGATCATAAAAACATCAATGGCACCCCCGTCTTTGTGGTAACTCCAGACCGAGTAGTATAGCCAACTGTAACTAAACGCTGGCGAAGCCTACTACTTGAGGGTTTCATTGCATGTCGTTCGCGATCCATGTTTTTAGATGGATATAAGAACAATTAATGGTGTTGTCCACCGTACTTTCAAAGATGCATGTTATGCTTTGAGTTTAATGCATGATGATACCGAGTATGTCGAAGCTATCTATAAGGAAAGTCAATGGGTTCCCACTCCTTTCTTCTTATGATGTACACTGTTTTGTTACGTGCAGCTTCTATGATGAATCTTTTTTATGTTTGGAGATCCATTCAATGTTTTTTAGTATAAGTTTCGTCAATTCCTTGCATTGTCTTTGATTAATTTTCCTTTATTATCTTATTTTAACAATTTTCTTTGATTTTTTGTTGTGTTTGGATTTTAATTGTTTTCCCTAATGTACTTTCTAAATTTAGTTACCATCAATAAAAATAAACAATTAAACAGATTCTTAATTAGTTTTTACTATTAATAATTTATATATTGTTCTTATTTTAACCCATTCATAATTGTTATTTATTGTTAAAAAAAGACATACAAATAGTTTTCCTACTAACTCATATATATTGCTCTTACTTTTATTCACCTATAATTCTTATAACTATAAAGAAGAAGAAGATGTAGTTAATGATAAAAACTAAAAAAAGATGAATTTGAATAAAACCATTAAGAATAAAAAAAGCATATGAGAACACGATATAGTGAAGAAGAGAAGGATATAATAAAAGGATGTTTTAGTTAAAGGACGAAACCGGGATGAACACCAAATAAAGGACGACGACCTGAGAAAATGAAGCTAGTGGAGGATGAGAAGAGATCATGAAAACC